TCTTTCGATGAACAAAAAGAACATAATGACACGTTGAACTACGCGATTTGTCGTACATTATTTTACATAATATAAATCCGTTTTTTATATTTTATTCTTATTATTGTTGACATTAAATTGACAACGATACCTTGATTTGTTTATCAAAACCATTGACCTATAAAACTGATTTGTTATAGTTCAACTGTTTTTTTTTTTATCTAACATTTTCCTCGCTGTAGTGAGGTGAAAAGTTGTATTTTTGGCTCGGCAGCAAAGTTGTTTTGCGTCTCGTGGCTTGAAACCCTCGCTACGCTCAGGACCTTATTTTTAAACCTTATTTTTGAACCTTTGGCGTCTTCCCTTGCTCAGGTTTTAATACAAGCACTTGCGGTAAACAACAACTTTGCAGCCTTGCATAACAAATAAATATTAAAGCATGTATTTTTATAAATTTATTTTTTATATTTAGGAAATTGTGTCACACGCGTACACACTTAACATAAAAACAACAGTGAATAATGATATTAACTTTTTTAATAAAAGCAACTGTTCTTATGTTTCTAATTGACAGACAGCTGACATTTAAGGGTATTATGTACATTATCATTTCATAATTTATGGAAATCAAGGCTTAAATTTTATTTTTAAGATTTAAAATTCACAAAATCTATTTACAGTTATGGGTGAGCCGTGATCATGGCAATTATAAAAAAAAACTCCAATCGTTGGTTCTATATGAAAAAATTCATTTCCAATTGCCAAAAACCTAAGCATAGATGTGGCAAGTTATTTATCAATAATTTAGTGTCACTGCTTTTATCTCCTCTCTCTCCCTTATAACCGCTCCTTAATTGAATATATAAATCTAACATTGCTGGTGGTGATAAGCAGAAATCGGAGTAGGTATAATATACATGGGAAATGAATCTACGTTTCTTATCTAACAGCCCAACGTTTCGGGGCATGTCATGGCTGACTGAACGAAAAACAGTTTCTTTTCCTACGAATAACAATCGCGAAAACCTAAAAATTGTTTAGGTGCAGTTTATTTACAGAATTTCTCTTCTAACACAGTCAAATACACAATACAGTAACACCGAAATTTTAGAGGAACGTATCATCCAAACCAAGAACAGATAAAGTTATGACCTTTATTTACATTTGCGCAATAATTAGTAATAATACCACAACACACTCATAGCCCCGCACTAGGAAAACCCTGTATCACGGGTGCCATGGACACACACATAGACAACCACAAATTACACCCGAACTCACGAGAGAAATAAATGTAGAACATACAAATATTGCTCCCGGCGCGGGAATCGAACCCGGGACCTCTGCGTGGCAGTCCAGCATGGTAACCGTTCGGCCACGGAGAGAATAAACAATACGCTAGATATATCATGCTACTTTGTGGAACAAGCTTACAAAAACTTTTGTTTGAAATACAACATCGTACACAACAACATAAATCGTTATGTTCATGTCTGCGCACTGTTTGTACGGTTTGTAAAGAACAATGCCTATACTCCATACCGATATGAACCAGCAAAATTAAGGTAGACGAACCTTAATCGCTGACACTGGGTTTCATTCGTATTTAGGACTGAGGAAAGTGGATTATATTTATGTTACTTTATACATTTGGGAACACATCAAAGATTACACTTGTGCTTAGCTTTTCATTACGACAGACGAGCTAATGAAGAAGAAAATAAGCAATAAAGATATGGCAGTTTAAAAATCCTTAAAAGATATTTAATGTGCTGTAAATGCTTGTTTCTAAACGCAGCACAACTTAGTTTTGTAACATTTCATGTTAAGGCTCGTTTACACTCTATGATTTCTGCGACGTGGAGACAATTACAAGATTCCTGATAATTTTGAAGTTGAGAGCCAAATTCACGTTATCAGTGGCAGTAGTAAAAGCCAAAATTGTCACTTAATCAACAGTTGGGGCAAGTCTTTTGGTACTGTTCAAGCTTTTTGAGTTTATTAATCTCTTGTTATATTGCTAAGGTGCGTGTTGTTTTGGAGCCAATACTCCTACTATAAAACACTAAAGTATACAATAAAGTGTATTAAAACAAATATTGAGACAACTATTGTAACTTTCGTTCATAATTAGTACAACATGGGAGAAATCATAGCAAGTGTAATCGTAGCTTAGAATAAAATGTAAATAGCGTGAGTTGTGCTGCGTTCAAACAAAAATATATTTTTTACGTATTTTCAAAAAAATCGTATCTTTTTTTTCTCCAACTTATTTCAAAGTTATTTAAATGAAAACAATATTATTTGATATCGTACTTTCAGATGGATATCAATTTTCGAACGGCCGTGACTCACAATTTGCGAGTCAAAAAGGGTATGTCCTCTCCGTTAAGTTTTAGTTTTTTCAAGTACAAACGGCATTTTCCAAAATAAACAATATACATTCATTGGGCATCCACACATCGCAAACCTAAACTTATTGGACTCCTTCACTTTTTCCATGTACCGTCACTTTCTTGCACGAAGCTTCTACATCTGAAACAAAAATATAGACTTCCATTATTAAGTTAACAGCCGGAAAGCCACCTTCATTGGGTGACATAACGAACGGAATACCGAAATTCGACCGGAAAATGGTCATCTGCATTGTCGTGATGACAGTCGCATAACAAAAAAACACATAAAATGTACACAAATACTACTTTTAAAAGCTTGTAATATTGGTTTGACAAAAAAGTATTCTTACTCATTGCATATGACATTCCTCAGGCTTTACTATGTAGAAATTTATGTTAATAAAATAAAAATACCTAAATGGTGTTTTTTATGACACCAAGTGACGGTACGAACAAGTCGCGCGCCTGGTGGTAAACGACGCGCCTGTCCATAACAGGTGCAGAGCCACTTTAAATCGCAAACATCTGAGGATCAGTGCCTTTGCACCCGTCATCCTGAGGCATAAGTTGACAAGTCCCACGTGTCTGTAATTTCACTAGCACGAAAACCGGAACAGAGCTGACATTACTGCTTGGCAGCAGAAATAAGCAGTACTTCCTTGAACGAACCCTTTCACAAGGACTCTACTAGTACATAAGAATTTGCTACTCCGTGAATCCAGTGAAGGTTAAATCATGCAAAATAACTGCGCTAGTGTTGAATATTTTATCACGCAATTTATTTTTCGTTTCGCCTCTTTACTAGGCATGCTCAGGATTTGTTGACTGTTCGACTCTCGACCGAAGCAAGAAATGAATGAATAACCGCTCACGCGATACATGCAGCCGCAGTAGACGCATACCACACCTAGAGGTGCCGATAATGATTTTATACCGATTTATCGGATATCGAAGTTATAACAGGTAAAAGAACTAATATTAATTGCTATTTCGGTAACTACTCTAGCAAACCATAAAGTTTTTAATGCCTGGGTCTGTCATTTAAAAAAATAAACAACTTCAAAAATACGTCACGACAATCGTGTGTGTTATTGTTTGGGCTGGTGATTTCGGTGTTTATTTATTGAAAATACCGTAAGTAGTGTTTTTTAAGATTACCCTTAATATAAATGTTTATAAACTATACTTTAAGGAGTAATTTCATGGTAAACGTTAGAACCACTCAAACGGAATATTATCATATTTATCCAAGTACACCAAAAATTTCATTTGCTTTTTAAGTGCAGGATTTGCGGTGTATTAATGCATTATATTTGAGATGTTTTTGTTGGTAGGACAGAGGGTATTTATTTAACAATGCAGAATAATAATTTTTATTTATAGAAACTTGTATTTAAACTGAATGGTTTTCTAATTTGCGAATAGCCGCCATTTTGCGGTAGGAGGAGCGCATCGCGTGAGCTGTGAGACTATATTTTTGGTGGTGTTATTTTGGAATGTAGTTGCGTTTGTGTTATTTATTTTATTAAATGTATGCGGAGTAAAGGTGGGAGAATTTATTGCATGAAAAACTATACAACACAAGTGTAGCCATGTATATATGGCGCACTATAAGTTTCCGGAACTGGCCACTTACATAAACAAATTTTAAAAAGTAATTACAACATTTGAAAATGGAACTCTTTGGCTGTAGAATACAGTTTGTTTCATCTGACTGTCACTTGTTTTTACATTGTGGCGTCATTTTAGAAACTGGTTGTCTACGTCACCATGGATTTACCTCGTGAAAATTTTCATAGTATGATTTTCTACGACTTTAACTGTAATTTAACAGCTCAGCGGAGCTTCACTCGGCTTCAAACTGCTTTTGGCGATGAAGCACCATGCAAGACGACTATTTATAGCTTGTTTGCAGAATTTAAACGCGGTCGTGTGAATCTTATCGACGAATTTCGTAATGGTGGCCCGTCCACTGCTGCGAACAACAAAAACATCGATGTTGTGCGCCGTATGATCAAAACAGATACCTGATGTGATATACCATGAGGTTCGGGCATCATTAGCCACAGGCATGAGTCAAATACAATCAATACTACACAAACATTTGGGTGTGTAAAAGCTGTGCTCTTGGTGGATCCCACACAATTTGACTGAGGCTCAAAAAACGGATTGCGTCACTTGGTGCAATGACATGCTTACCAGATTCAACGAAGGGGCGTCCAATTTGGTGTGGTACATAGCAACAGATGACGAAACATAGATTTATAGTTACGGTCCCAAAACAAATCCCAAAAAAAAAAATGAACCGAAACCAACCAAGTGCCTATAAGAGGATGATTGCTTCTTTTTTTAATAAAACTGGACACGTAGCTACTGTTGCTTTGGAGAATCGTTGTACCGTGAATAGTGATTGGTACACGACCATTTGTTAGTCGGAAGTTATTGACAAACTCCGTAAAAATAACCGTAAACGCCGTATCATCTTGCACCACGATAATGCCAGTTCTCACACGGCCAGACAGACAAATGAATCTTTGAAGGTGAACAACGTTGACCTTATGAGCCATCCCGCGAACAGTCCCGACCTGGCGCCTTGTGACTTTTATTTATTTCCAAAAATTAAGAACCAGTTACGCAGTCAATGATTTTCATCACCTGAAGAGGCTGTCGAAGAGTATAAAAAATATGTTTCAGATATTGTCACGGAGTAGTGGCTTAAACGTTTTCAGAATTGGTTCATTCGTATGAAAAAGTGCATTAACGCTAACGGAGAATATTTTGAGAAACAACAAATTCATTTCTGACCATTTATAGTATTTTTTTCTTATTCATTCTGGAAACTTACAGTGCGCCGCACGTCCACGATGTAACCTCGGAGTAGCATTTACTTTCATTTTCAACAACACATTTCTACTGAAGCCTACAGAAATATAAATACAAAAAACCGTAGCGCCGATCAAAGTGAATCCGAAAAGCGAATTGGCGAACGAGCGATATTACACTGAAAATTGCGCACACATAACATTCTGTGAGTCATTTGGTAAAGTCGATACATTTCGAATCAGTACGGGTTTAGTTTGTTTATTTTAGCATAACAAATGACGGCTGTGATTATTCACAGAATAACGTAACGTGCTCGTAAGCATTTGGCATTTGCGTACTGTGAATAGAAAATTTTAACAACGATCTAAAAATTGCTAAACAAGTGACATTTTAGTTTATGGGTTTCAGATATCATTCCCTTAAAAAAATATGCACAATTAAACATATTTGCCGAATAACATTTCTTTTGAATTGTTACTACGCTTTTAGGGCAAATAACAACGAAAAGAGCGCGCCTTGGCAGCGGGGGTGGGTTCTTGCAGAAATGAAAATCAATTGAAAGGTCATTAGACGCGCGGGCACTCTCGGTGGGTCAAATTATTCGTGAATCTCATCTTCCCGGTACTACTTCGAACGTCATATTATCGCGAATGTATGTATTTGAATGATGCTATATTAGATTATAGGTGGTGGACGTTGAGCGAACCGAAAGCGAAGAATTTATCATCACGGTCTAGAATTCGTAAAATTAGTAACAGGTAACAGTCAAACGCCAAACGAGCTTGGCCTGAGCGGGATGTGGCTGCTGAAAGACATGGACCACGGTCGATTTGGAACGCATTCACACGCTAACGGACGTGGCAGACTGAGACTGCCAGTTGAGATTTTAAGAGAACAGCTCAAAAGATTTTTACAATTGCAAAAAATAAGAATAGAAAAATGTGAAGTTCATACCACGTGCGTGTAGGTGGTTACAATTGTAAGCTTTGTTAGATATTTCTGTGATGTCATATCTCAATATTTTACTATTGAGCTAAAAACATGTATTTTATTTCTTCACCAAAGGTCATATATCAAAATTTTGATGGCGATTACCAAGTCACCCTGTATAACATTCTACGAGTGCGCAGCTTTTCGACTAAATAGGCAGTTGAGTTGAGGCCCCGTCCGCTGCAGCAGGTCTCTGTCAAAATATCTATGTTGCATTTCTTATTTTCTTTTTTTTTGTATTAGACATTTATCAAAAATAGTACAGGGTAGATCTTAGCACTTGCGAGGACTTCCTTCCTTTGTATCCTCCATGCTACTCCAACCAATGAGTTGGCAACAAAAATAAGACGATAGTTTTACCTATGACAGCGCGATTGTGGTTTTTAATAGTTTATTTTGTTCATAGTACACTGTAATGTGCTCTACTGATACTTCACTACTGAACCTGAGGATTTTTTTTCCGGCGGCGGCCGTATCCAGGCGGAATTGCTGCCAGCGCAATGAAAGAAAAGGTGAGTGTGCATGTTTCCATCATTTTTCCTGTTGTTATATACTTGTTCCAGTCCTTATAGGAAGCTACTTGCAAGTGCAGATACGCGTAGTACAAGTACCTTTTAATGTAATTTAAAAAACGCAAAAAATACAGTCCATACCTATCACAAATTACACATGCAAAGTACCTATATATAGCAATACATTACGAATAAATAGAATCACTTATTGTAAATGTTATCTCACATCTTGAGGAAGTTCTGAAACTAAACAGATTTATAACTCCAATAGGCTTTATTTTCAAATCCGGATTCCTAAGATCCAGGTAAGGGTCGGTTCTTATTGTCAGCGGACAATTTAGTTGCGTTCACTTAAACTTTTAACGTAGGAAGCAAATTGTATGCACATCGTGCGAGACAACCAAGTCTTGCTCCTGGTAATAACATGACTACCCTTAACATTTGCAGTGGCACTCAGAGCATTAAATCGCACTGCTATGACTGCGCCCATCACCATGAGACATAAAGTTGACAGGTCCCATGTGCCTGTAGTTTCACCAGCAACCCTACCCTTCAACACTGGAACGCAGTAATGCTTAGCGGCAGTACTTCCGTGGGTGACCTTGTCACGGTGTGACCTCCTTGAAGTTTTCTGTTTTACTGCCGTGAACCTAGTCATGGCTTGTTAGGGTTACAACCCTTTCAAACTCTTTGACAAGGAGCTAGCTCTACAGTCGTTTTATAAATTTCAGCCTTAAAATGTTTAGACAGATGGATTGTATTTATTTTACGTGAAAGGGCTGGCAACACAATGAAATAATTTTCTTTCTCTTGC